TTCTCTGCCCACAGACAGAGGGATAATAGAGTGGCTGATCAGAGGGGGATTGCACAAATCTCTTTGCTGGTGCTGAGGCAGGACTCTCTTGCTTTGCCCATGCTTGGATCTGGGTCGCAGTTCTGTATGGCAGCCCTGGGGCAAGGAAGATTGCTGGCATGGTGCAGTTTGTGGTGGAGGTAGAGAGGGAATCTTCCTCACAGTTCCAAGGCAGAAAAGAGTGCTTGTGGTCACTCACAGACCAGAGCACAGGCCAGGAAAATAGTACACACCTTGTCCTTGATCAAACCACTTTGGAAGAACTGAAAATTTACAGGTACCTAGAGGTATCTCTGAAAACAGTTGCACAAAACCCTTGAAGTTTGGGACAGTACATAGTCCACACTGGAAGCAGACCCTACTTTAACAAAGAGTTTAAAACTCAAGTAATTGGCTGGGAACATAAGCAAACAGTGCAAAAAAAAAAGTCTGACCATAGAATCTTTCTTTGGTGACAAAGAATATCAAAACATACAACCACTAGAAGACAACAAAGTCAAAGCTACTACATCCAAAGCCTCCAAGAAAAATATGAATTGGTCCCAGACCATGGAAGAGCTCAAAAAGGATTTTGAGAAGCAAGTAAGACAAGCAGAGGAAAAACTGAGAAGAGAAATGAGAGTGATGCAAGAAAATCATGAAAAACAAGTCAACAGCTTGCTAAAGGAGACCTCCCAAAAAATACTGAAGAAAATAATACCTTGAAAAATAGCATAACCCAAATGGCAAAAAAGGTCCAAAAAGCCAATGGGAAGAATGCCTTAAAAAGCAGAACTGGTCAAATTGAAAAAGAAGTTGAAAAGCTCACTGAAGAAAATGCTTCCTTAAAAGTTAGAATGGAGCAAGTGGAAGGTAATGACTTTATGAGAAATCAAGAAATTGTAAAACAAAACCAAAAGAATGAAAAAATAGAACACAATGTGAAATATCTCTGGGAGAGATAATTTAAAAATTATTGTACTACCTGAAAGTCATGATCAAAAAAAGGGCTTAGACATCATCTTTCAAGAAATTATCAAAAAAATTTAAAAAAAAAGAAATTATCAAGGGAAACTGTCCTGATATTCTAGACCCAGAGGGTAAAATAGAAATGGAAAGAATCTACCTATCACTTCTGGAAAGAGATCCCCAAAGGAAAATCCCTAGGAATATTGTAGCAAAATTCCAGAGTTCCCAGGTCAAGGAGAAAATATTATAAGCAGCCAGAAAGAAACAATTCAAGTATTGTGGAAACACAATCAGGATAACACAGGATTTAGGAGCTTCTATGTTAAGGGACCACAGGGCTTGGAATATGATATTGTGGGGGGCAAAGGAGATAGGATTACAAGCAAGAATCTCCTACTCAGCAAAACTGAGTATAATCATTCAGGGAGGAAATGTACATTCAGTGAAATAGAGGACTTTCAAGCATTCTTGAGGAAAAGACCAGAGCTGAATAGAAAATTTGACTTTCAAATATAAGACTCAAGAGAAGCATGAAAAGGTAAAGAGAAATCATAAGGGACTTATTAAGGTTGAACTGTTTACATTCCTGCATGGAAAGATGCTATTTGTAACTCATGAGACCTTTGTCACTGTTAGGGTAGTTGGAGGGGAAAAATTATATGTACGTATATATAGATATAGATAGATAGATAGATAGATAGATAGATAGATAGATAGATAGATAGATAGATAGATAGATAGATAGATGGCACTGGGTGAGTTGAAGATGAAGGGGTAATATTTAAAAAAAAATAAAATTAATGGGTGAGACAGGATTATACTGGGAGAAGGAGAAAGGGAGAGGTAAAATGAGGTAAATTATCTCACATAAAATAGACAAGAAAAAGCTTTTACAGTGGAGGGGAAGGGGGGAAGGTGAGAGAAAATGAGTGAATCTTATTCTGATCAGACCTGGCTTAAGAAGGGAATAACATACACTCTCAATAACGTACGGAAATCTGTCTTACCCTATGGGAGAATAGGGGAGAAGGGGATAAGAGGGGGGGATGATAGAAATGATAGAATGGAGGGCAGACTGGGGTAGGAGTTAATCAGAAGCAAACACTTCTGCAGAGGGACAGGGTCAAAAAAGAATATAAAATAAACAATGGGTGAGATAGGATGAAGGGAAATATAGTAAGTTTTTCACAACACGACTACTATGGAAGTGTTTTGCATGACTACACACTTATAACCTGTGTCAAGTTGCTTGTCATCTCAAAGAGCATGGGTAGGGAGGGAGGAAGGGAGAGAATTTGGAACCCAAAGTTTTAAAAAACAAATGTTAAAAAATTGTTTTCACATGCAACTGGGAAATAAAATCTACAGGCAATGGGGTATAGAAATCTATCCTGCCCTACAGGAAAATAGAAGGGCAATGGAATGAGGAGGGTGATAGAAGGGATGGCAGATTAGGGAAAGCGGTGTTCAGAATCATGCCATATTGGGGTAGGGGTAGGGGTGAGATGGGGAGAAAATTTGGAACTCAAAATCTTGTGGAAATGAATGCTGAAAAGTAAAAATTAACTAATTAATTAATTAAATTTTTTAAAAAGCATAAAGGTAAATGAGAGCCAATTGTGTCCACTCAGGATTTTCTTTGCTAATTTGGTTCAATATGTAAGATCCTTTAAAGAGGGGCTGTTTTATATAATCCATGAAACTCTGCCAAACCAATAGTGGATTGTATAGAGAAAAGGTTTAATACATGTTTGCTTATTAAGAAAAGGAATAAAGTTACTAAATATTTCAAAGCTTTATCTTAGCAAACTCACATAAAATTGAGAGTTGAACAACATTCCAAGAAAAAATGATCAGTTCTTTTCTTAACCATTTTGATTTGATTCCTACACTCTGTGTGTGTGTGTGGGGGGTGTGCATGCACATACATACATACATGCACATTGTTGTTGAGTTCTTTCCATCATGTCCAACTCTCTGTTTCCCCATTTGGGGTTTTCTTGGCAAAGATAATGGAATAGTTCACCATTGCCTTCTTCAGCTCCTTTTGTGAATGAGGAACTGAGGCAAACAGGGTTAAGAGACTTGCCCAGGGTCACACAGCTAATAGGCTGGCACTCTATTCACTGCACCACCTAGCTACACACACACTCATACACACAGGTGCACATGCACACATAGATAGATATATACAAACCCATTTATGTATTTAATTCATTGAATATGAATATGAATATATATTCAATGAATTAAATGCTTCTATGTCCTTTTTTTCCCTAAAATAGGAGCCAAAAACCCCTAAGCTGTACACTTAACTCTGCCTTTTATTATGTCTATGACCTTTGTAAGTAGACTTAATAGCAATTCTATACATTATTAAAAGGATCAAATGAGTCAAGGTAAATGAGAACAATTTAAAAACAGGCAAAGTGCTAGGGATTGTTAAGTGCTGTTGTAATCATTATCTACATTTTGCTCTTTTTGTGAGTTTTTTTCCTAAATAATTGCTTCTATGATAAAATGCATCAGTGTAGGTACCCATTAGGAACAATTTAGTCAACAACAAACAAGACAAAAAAAATACTTTTGATTTAAATGAACAAACGTAAGCCATACTAAATACCTTTAATTTTCATCTATGCAAAGAGGTAATTGCCTTAACTCTATAATTCTGTTTCTATCATCATATGGTCATGTTATAAAATTAATTTCATGTACATCAGATTGTAGTTTTCATTATTTACACCCCCAACTCCACACTAAATTTGAAATTGTCTTAGTTTTTAAGCAACTGCAATTTCAATGACTGTCATTCTATGAGTAATGATCTGTTTTTCTAGCTATCATTTCTTCTAAGCAATCTGACATTATTGTTGATTAATTTTGCATTGGGATAGTCTTCTTAATTTAGAAGACCCTTCACAAAAATAGTCTAAAATTTTTGTAGTAATCTCACTAAGCAGTAGATGGAGAAAATATCCTTATTATGAAAATGGAACATTCTCAAGAATCTCTAGATCTAACAATAAAGTGACACATTGTAAAAAGTACAATATCATATGGAAGAAACCGACATTCAATAAAATAAGCTAACTTGTAAGTTGCTTTTCAAAAATTGTGAAATGTTTTCAGTGAGTTATGGATGGAACATGATAATGGTTAAAATTTTGAATTAGATCTCTTGAATGTTGGAATGTTAATACATGTTTGCTTATTAAGCAAAGGAATAAATGTTACTAAATATTTCGAAGCTTTTTCTTAGTAAACTCACATAAAATTGAGAGTTGAACAACATTCCAAGAAAAAATGATCAGTTCTTTTCTTAACCATTTTGATTTGATTCCTACACTCTGTGTGTGTGTGTGTGGGGGGTGTGCGTGCACATACATACATACATGCACATTGTTGTTGAGTTCTTTCCATCATGTCCAACTCTCTGTTTCCCCATTTGGGGTTTTCTTGGCGAAGATAATGGAATAGTTCACTTATTCTTTCCCAGACTTGGTTTTCTCGTCTATAAAATGCAAAACAAAAAAAAAATAATAATACATAGTCTTTAAGGTCTCTATCTGCTCTATATCCATGATTGCATAGTTCAGAAAGATCTGAGTTTAAATCTTCTTATTCCCTTCCCTTTTTTGAAACCTTAGACTCTGATTGATCTTTGCACCAGATGTGCAATAGTAACAGGCCGTACATAACTCTAGCAGAATAACTGCCATACCTAAGCATGTAAGTTTTTTTTTTAATTGTGATTATCACAATCCTTACTAGCTATCTATACTTTGTATCTCATTACTGGATCAGTTCTTACATTTTGTATCCCCTGAGGTTCCACATATTTCAATTTCTAATATTTTTCTCACATTGTAACAATTGATTATTTTATCTAGTTTGCTGAATATATGTATATATGTATACATGAATATGTATGTATATATGCTACTTTTTTCTCATCATTTCAATTTGGAATTACTTTGGTGAGATGTGGAAGAAAAACATAAATATACTTTTTTTTAATGGAGCAGTTTGCAAATTTATGTATCATTATTCCTCAGGGGCCAAGCTAATTTTCTTTGTATTATTCCAATTTTGGTATATATGTTGCTAAACTAAACACTGTGATACATTTTAAAAATTATTTTTATGTCATTAGACATTTCCCAATTAAATGTAAAATTTTCTTTTCTTTTCTTTGGCTAGGCAATGGTGTTAAGTGACTTGCCCAGGGTCACACAGCTAGTAAGTGTTATGTGTCTGAGGCTGGATTTGAACTCAAGTCCTCCTGAATCCAGGGCCAGTGCTCTATCCACTGCTCCACCTAGCTGCCCCATGTAAAAAATTCTTAATAATCATTTTTTTAAATGTTGAGTTCTACCCAAAGACCTCAGCTTCTGGGATAAGAACTCACTCTTTGACAAAAACTGCTAGGAAAACAGGAAAAGAGTATGGCAGAAACTAGGCATAGATCAAAATCTCACAGCATATACCAAAATAAAGTCACAATGGGTTCATGATTTAGATACAAAGGCTGAAACTGTAAGCAAACTAGGAGAGCAAGGAATAGTTTACCTATCAGATTTATGGAGAACAAAAGAATTTGTGACCAAACAGGAAATAGAGAACATTATGAAAAGCAGAATGGATAACTTTGATTACATTAAATTGAAAAGATTTTGCACAAACAAAGTCAATGCAACCAAGATTAGAAGGAAGGTAGAAAATTGGGAAAGAATTTTTACAACCAATCTCTCTGATAAGGGCCTCATTTCTAAAATGTATAGAGAATTAAGTCAAATTTATAAGAATACAAGTCATTCCCCAATTGATGAATGGTCAAAGGATATGAACAGGCAGTTCTCAGATGAAGAAATTAAAGCCATCAATAGTCATATGAAAAAATGGTCTAAATCACTATTGATTAGAGAAATGCAAATCAAAATAACTTTGAGGTACCACATTACACCCATCAGATTGGCCAACATGACAAAACAGGAAAATGATAAATGTTGGAGAAGATGTGGGAAAATTGGAACACTAATGCATTGTTGGTGGAGTTGTGAAGTGATCCAACCATTTTGGAGAGCAATTTGGAACTATGCCCAAAGGGCTATAAAAATGTGCCCAGCAATAGCACTTCTAGGAGAATCACACAAATGGGAAAAGGATCTACACATACAAAACATTTTATAGCAGCTATTTCTGTGGTGGCAAAGAATTGGAAATTGAGAGGATGCCCATCAACTGGGGAATGGCTGAACAAGTTGTGGTATATGAATATAAAGATATAATATTATTGTGCTATAAGAAATGATGAACAGGATGATATCAGAAAAAATCTGGAAAGAATTGTATGGTCTGATGCTGAGTGAAATGAGCAGAACCAGGAGAACATTGTACACAGTAATAGCAACGTCCTGTGATGACTAACATTGATAGACTTAATGCTTCTCAGCAATACAAGGATCTAAGACATCTCCAAAAGCCTCATGATGGAAAATGCTATCCACATCCAAAGAAAGAACTATGGAGTTTGAATGCAGATTGAAGCATACTATTTGCTATTTTTTTCTTCTGCTGTGTTTTGTTTCCTCTTTCTGGTGATTCCTCTTATTGGTTCTAATTCTTACTTACAATATAACTAATATGAAAATATGTTTAATAGAAATGTATGTGTATAGCCCATATCAGATTGGTTGCCATCTTGGGGAGGGAGGTGGGGAAAGAGGAGGAGAAAAATTTAAAACTCAAAAGCTTATGGAAAAAAAAATGTTGAGTTCCAAATTCTTACCCTACCTCTTGTCCCACCACACTCCTTGATAATGCAAACAAAATTTTAGTTTCTTCTCTCTCTCTTTCAAGTTAGACACCAAAGGCTTAAGCTTTCCCACAATCACTGTTAGTTAAAAAAAAAAAAAACCCTCTTCTTAATACTCTCATAAAACATCATCTCAGAATTTACCACAAGGTTTGTATCCTTGAAAAGTTGGACCAACTGACATCCAATCTTTTAAAAAGATGGTTTTATCTAATCCCCCTGGTGCCAGTGCATCTGCATACCTGGGTCCTCAATATATGGCTTGGACCCATACATTCACAAAGTATTCTTTAGAGATAGAGAGGTGGTTTTCATCCCATATGAGAGCTAAGCCTTCTTTCTTTGATGTAACAAATAATTATCCCTCACCCCTGTGATGCTGGCTAATTATATCATTTTTGTTCTATGCTTATAAAAATAAGTTATGTCTTCAATTCAGGGTCTTTTGGCCAGAGGCAATGCCATTTGACCCTTCCTTTGAGAACACATTGGACTCCCTATTCATAAACTATTATCTTGCTTGGAGAATTGCCTCAGTTTACCTTTTTAGTTAAATTTCACTCATGACAATATCTTTCCAGTCTTTTTATCCCTTACTCTATGACTTGAATCCTTTGTTTAGTAACACTGGCCACCTTGCTGTTCAATGAACAAAATACTCCATCTTTTGTTTCTAGACATTTATCTGGCTGTCTCCCATACCTGAAATGCTTTCCATTTTTTTTTTTTTTGGTGAGGCAATTGGGGTTAAGTGACTTGCCCAGGGTCACACAGCTAGTAAGTGTCATATGTCTGAGGCTGGATTTGAACTCAGGTCCTCCTGAATCCAGGGCTGGTGCTCTATCCACTGCACCATCTAGCTGTCCCAATGCTCTCCTTCTTGATCTCTAACTCCTGGATTCCCTAGTCTCTTTCAAGTCTCAAATAAAGCCCCACCTTCTAAAAGACATCTTTCCCAATCTCTCTTAATTTCATTGTCTTTCCTCTGCTGTTTGTTTCCTACTTTACTTTTATACATCTTGTTTATGCATATTTATTTGCTTGTTCTCTCTTCCATTAGGTTTTGATCTCTTAAGGGAAGCAACTACCTTTTTCCTCTTTTCTATCTCTAGTGCTTAGCATAGGTCCTGGGCACAGAGTAGGCATGTAAGAAATGCTTATTGACTGATTAGACTGAGTCCTCCTCAGGAAGACCTGAACTCAAACCCTCAATCTCTTACTATCTGTGTGTCTCTGAACCTCTCAACCTAAGTTTCATTATTTGTAAAATGGGGACAATAATAGCACTTTCTTCACAAGGTTGTTGTGATGATCAAATGAAATTACATTTGTAAGGTGCTCTGGAAACCTTAAAGTCCTATATAAATGTTAGCTATTATTATCATCCTCTAATTCATTCAAATATCTTTAGATTTCTCCTTTCTAATTTAAATCTCTGGGTACAAACCTCCTCAGCTCACTTTCACTATTTCTTTACCCTAATGTAGCTCAATTTCTTCTCTTTCTCCTTCCTATGTCATACTACTGCCAATCTTCCTTCTAAAACCAAAAGCTGATTCTGCTTCCAGAAGTCAAGATGGTGGAGTAAGAAGTAAGTCGCTCTCATCATTTCTTATTAACCTCTGAAAGCCCAGAAAAATCACCCCAGGTAAAACCCTGAAATAGCTGAACCAGCAGAAGATAGAGTGCAGCAGTTCTGTAGCCCAGGAAGCTTGAGGGATTAACAGGAAAGGCCTCTCTTGCCCTGTGGGAAGGGGAAGCACTACAGAATTGGAGATGTCCCAGTAAGCTAGCAAAAAAACCCACTTCAGTATACCAGGGGGAGATCCTGAATCCCAGGTGGTGGAGCAGATGAAAACCAACACCAGGACCCCTGAGTGTCTCATTATGGGCAGGGGAACCAGTGCAAACCAGTTTGGAAAACCACCACATCACAAGGCATCCTACAGCAGCCAATCTCCCAGTGCCTCAGCAAAACTCTGGGAAGTGCAGCTCCAAGGGAGAAAGACTCAGGCAGAGAAACATCCCACAGCAGTGAAACATCCATCTGAAAGAACAAGTGAAAGGCCTGTGTGAACAGTCAACCTCCAGGGGCCAGACTACTCACCCTTACCCCTAGAGCTCCAGTGTTGCTTATGGCAGCCCAACACCAGGTAAGCTGCCAGAATCCTACAGCTTCCAACTGCCAGCATCTGAGGCCCCAGAACACAAATCCAGGGGCCAGACTCTGAGCTCCCAACACAAGAAGCTTGGGCTAGTGCCCCTGTTCTCTAGCAAGAGAGCTAAGTCTTTATAAAGGCCAAGAAATAAGCAAACACCATGAGCAAAGAGAAATGTACTATAGATTCTTATTATGGGAATAGTGAAGATCAAGGCAACAATTCTGAAGAAGACAACATTGTCAACAAACCCACATCTGGAACCTCAACAGGGAATATAAACTGGTCTGAAGCCCAAAAAGCCTTCTTGGAAGAGTTCAAAAAATTTTTTAGAAGTCAAATAAGTGAGGTAGAAGAAAAATTAGGAAAAGAAATGAAAGATATGCAAGAAAGAGTCAATAGCTTGGAAAAGGAAGGATAAAAATTAACTGAAGAAAACAACTCCTTAAAAAGCAGAATTGGACAAACAGAAAAGGATACATAAAAACTCAATGAGGAGAAGAATTCCTTAAAAAAATAAAATGTGCCAAATGGAAAAGGAGGTACAAAATTGAATAGAAGAAGACAATTTGTAAAAAAATTAGAATTGGGCAAATTGAAGCTAATGACTTTATGAGAGAGTGAGAATTGGTCAAACAGAAACAAAAGAGTGAAAAATAGATGAAAATGTAAAATACCTCATTGGTAAAACAACTGACCTGGAAAATAGATCCAGGTGAGACAATTAAAAAAAAGATATTGATCTACCTGAAAATCATGATGAAAAAAAGAGTCTGGATAGCTTCTTTAATGAAATCATCAAGGAAAACTGCCCTGAGGTCCTAGAACCAGAGGGTAAAATAGCTATAGAAAGAATCCACCAATCACCTCCTGAAAGAAATCCCAAATTGAAAAAGCAAAGGAATATAGTAGCTAAATTCTAAAATTACCAGGTCAAAGAGAAAATACTGCAAGCAGTCAGAAAGAAACAATTTAAATATCATGGAACCACTGTCAGAATTACACAGGACCTTGTAGCTTCTACATTAAAAGACTGTAGGTTATGGAACATGATATTTGTTGTATCAACAATAGTAATTGTTGATAAATCAAAATAAATTAATTAAAAAAAAAAGAATTGCCTGAACTTGGATTACAACCAAG